GGAGAGACCCAGGAGGTGAAGCCGTGTGAGCTTCTTGCCCTGAAGACAGTCTGCTCAGAGGGAGAGGAGGCTCCCCAAAGTCCTGCCTGGCTTTGTGGGGAGCAGTTCCAGAGCATCGCCCGGGGACTCTGTGACAGCCTGACAGTGCCATGAACATGTGATGAGTGTGTGCACGTGGGCGTGATGGAGCGTGTGAGCCCGACAGTGGGGTGCGATGAGTGTGCAATGAGTATGTGCACTTGGGTGTGACGGTACATGTGAGCCCGCCAGTGCCGTGCGATGAGCATGTGCACATGGGCGTGATGGAGCACGAGCCTGACAGTACTGTCCCATGAGCGTGCAACGAGTGTGTGCATGTGGGAGCAACGGAGCACGTGAGCCCAGCAGTGCCGTGCCATCAGCATGCGATGACCGTGTGCTCCTGGGCGTGATGGAGCGTGAGCCGGACAGTGCTGTGCGATGAGTGTGCCATGAGCGAGCCAAGGCCTGCACGTGCCCTTTCACTCTGTACGTGCGAGCGCCCCCCAGAGCTGAGTGCCTGAGTCTCAGCACGTGCGCACGGACCTAGGGCCCTTGGGCCGGCCCCTGTTGGCGCCGGGGGGGATGACCCACAAGTTGCCTGTAATATTTTGGTGAGCGAGGTGCCCAGCGGACAGGGGACGGCGACCCTGCGGGCGCCGAAGAATTAAAGCTGCTCCCGGGCCGGGTGGAGACGCCAGGGTCGGTGATGCTGCGGTGGGGGCTGGATGGGCCTAGGTCACTGGAGGGGCCGGACGGACAAGGGGACCCCTGCGGCCGGGGCAGCCACGGCTCGCGAAGGAGATTCCCCACCCCCTGCAGGGGCTGAGCTGGGGAATAGAGGGGAGGTGTCGGGGGGCTCAGAGTTGGGAGCCAGGCCGGCAACGGGCCCACACTTGCTTCTGTGCCTGGCTGGGCACCAGGTGACTGAGAAACTCACCCTGGCCCACGCTGGAGCCCCAGAGCATGGGTGTGGGCCCCTAGGCTGTGGGGGGGCCTAGAGCATGTGTGGGGCGGTCCAGGAGGGGGCGTCACTCACCCAGGGCCTGGCTGTCGTTGGCCACGCAGCGGCGCTGGGACCCGTCCAGCACGAGGGGGGGCGAGCAGGCGCAGTAGAAGGAGCCGATGGTGTTCACGCAGGCCCCCCCCACGCAGGGCTCTGCCTCCTCGTCACGGCACTCGTCATTATCTGGGACCGACACGGGGGGGTCACCGCGGCATCGCCCCCACAGCCACTCCAGACGGTGCGTCTCAGAGGAGCAGCCATTGGGCCAGGGCCAGTTCAGGGGGCTGGGAGTTTGGGGTTGGGCTGCGGGGCCGGGGGTTAGGCTGGGGGGCAGGGGCTGAGTTGGGGGGCTGGGAGGTCTCACCGATGCACTCCAGGTGGTGTGTCTCGTAGTAGTAGCTGTTGGGCCGGAGGGCTGGGGCTGAGTTGGGGGGCCGGGGGAGGAGGCCTGGGGGGCCGGGGCTGAGTTGGGGGCCGGGGGAGGAGGCCTGGGGGGGCCGAGGCTGAGTTGGGGGGGCCGGGGGTTGGGTTGGGGGGCTGGGGAGGAGGCTGGGGGGGACGGGCTGGGTTGGGGGGTACGGGGTTGGGCTGGGGGCCAGGGGTTGGGGGTCTGGGGGGTCTCACCGATGCACTCCAGGTGATGTGTCTCGTAGTAGTAGCCGTTGGGGCAGTAGCAGGCGTAGCCAGGGGCGCTGTTGAGGCAGACGCCCCCCCGGCACAGCTGGGCGCTGAAGAGCGCGCACTCGTCCATGTCTGGCGGGGGAGACACACCATGGGGGGGACTGTCTGGCGTCCTCTGTCTGCCTCAGTTTCCTTCTGCACTTGGCCTCGCTACCGGGGGGGCAGCGCAGAGATGGGAGGGGTCTGTCACGGGGGGTGGGATGGATGGGCCAAGGGAGGGTCCAAGAGACACCGGGAGCCCCCTGGCCTGACCCCGAGCGCGGGCAGGTGGAGCCGGGGAGCCCGGCGGGGGGACGCAGAGCTCGGACCTGGGCCGGACAGAGGAGAAACGCGTCCCGCGGCCGCCCCTATCTGCCCCCAGTGGGTGGATGGAGACGGACGCTGGCCTCACCGGGCAGAGCAACCGGGGGGAAGCAGCAGGGGGGAGGCATGTGGGCGAGTGGGGCCCCTGGGGTTCCTCCGAGGAGCTGTTTAATGGCTGGGGCGTGCGCCGAGCCGGTGCAGTCAGGAGCACCCAGAGGCCTGGCTCCCCCCAGCTGTCACCCACCCCGCACCCTGCCCAGAGCCCCCACAAGGGGCGTCAGGCAGCACCGACCTGTGAGCGTGGCGAGGGGTCCCGTCGCGGCGTAGCCGTTCCCACGGGGGCACAGGGCCTGGTACTCCGCTAGAACCGGAGAGAGCGCGCATGAGAGCCGGGAACCTCCCCCCGCATCCCACGGCGCCCCCCCAGCACTCACAGGGAACCCCCGCTCCAACTGCTGGCCCCACTCCCCTCCCAGAGCCAGGAGAGAACCCAGGAGTCCTGGCTCTCAGCTCCCCCCCGCGACCCCAACTCCCCTCCCAGAGCCAGGAGAGAACCCAGGAGTCCTGGCTCCCAGAGCCCCCTGCTCTAACCACTAGCCCCCACTCCCCTCCCAGAGCTGGGGAGAGAACCCAGGAGTCCTGGCTCCTAGCCCCCTGGTCTAGCCACTAGTCCCCACTCCCCTCCCAGAGCCGGGGAGCCACCCCCGGGCCCCGGCTCTCCGCCCCCCCCCCAGACCCCCAACTCCCCTCCCAGAGCCAGGAAAGAACCCCTGCCCATGAGCCCCAGGGTGGGGCTGGAATTGGGGCAAGTCACCCAGGCTGTCCAGAGGGACGCAGGGAACGGGGGCAGGGTGGGTCCCATTTGGGATGCTGGGCCAGGGCTTGGGGCTGGGCACAGGGGCTGGCTGGCTTGGGAGCCACAGAGGGGCCAGTACCTGTGCCTGGGTGGGGGCTGGGCTGGGCCCCCCGTACCTGTGCCCGGGTGGGGGCAGGGCTGGGCCGGGCC